TAGAACACTGTGTCGCCACAAGAAGAATACTGATATCGAATAATCTCCAAAATATATTATTAAGTGAAGAAAGTTCAAGGCGCATAGCTGTGTAAGGCAGGCTTGGCATCTGTGTAAAGGAGGGAGACTAGGCGTGCTGGCTTGAAGGGGCATGAAATGCCTCTGGAGGTGTCTCGGGTCACTGGAGACGGGCTGTGCCAAGGGACGTGCAAATGACTGCGGACAAAGAGGGTCTTCCCACATGTAGACTTTAGGACCTTTTGCATTTTGAACCATGTGAAAATAATCCATTTTAAAAGAATACCAACAGAAAGGAGAGGGAAGAAAGGCCCTGGCCCACTTGCTCATCTGGTTGACCCCCTGCAGGTTGTGAGCCTTGGAGCCCAGGGAGGACCCAGGAATATTGTTCTGGCCGTGAGGAGCGTTTCTTTGTCTCCTTTCCTCCTGGCTGGCTTCTAAGGTTCTATTGTGTTAAAGTTAGAAGAGAACTTCCACCTTAGGGACAGTCCCTAGGAGCTGCTGGCCAGGCGAGCTGTACTCTGCGTAGCTGACTGTCTGGACATGAAAGCCAGCCCTCACCCTGAACCCTCCCCCGAGATGCCGGGAACCCACCTTCAGCCGTTTATCCCTCAGCATTGGCATCGGTGTGCGGGTCCTCTCTGTAAATCTAAATCTAAAGTTTTCTGAAAAGTGGAATGTCGTTGGAAGAATTAGCTTAAGAGTACATTTATTCATTGGTTCAGTGATGATTGAGTGTTTATTCACGCCAGACACTCTGTCAAGTACCTGGACATGCAGGCAAATAAGACAGTCATTGACCTTGATGATAAATATCATATAGACGACAATGAGGATGGCGATGCTATTTAACACTTTCTGAGGGTTTATTGTGTGGCAGGCACTCTTCTAAGCTCTTTGTATGCATTTGCATTGAATTCTTGTAACAAATCTGCGGTAGGTCATGTTGTTATCTCCATTTGTTGGGTGAGGAAACCGGAGCACAGAAATGTTAAGACACTTGTCCAAGATCCCACTGCAGGTAAATGGGCAGTGTGTACATGGTTTATCCAACAGCTGTTTTCTAGGGAGAGACGGTAGCCGGGAGGTGAGGGTCTGCGGCTGCCTCCCTGGAGCGTGCAGAGAGGGTCCAGGACGACACCAGACAGTCCTCAGGCCGATTCCTGCCCTGCTGATGTCGGAAAGGGCTCGTGGCTGCACAAGTTTTAAGGAGGCAAGAGAGAGACTCAAGAGAGCAGTAAATCACATGGACACCAGCCAGGGTGAGCCCAGCAAATAGAGGAGGGCAGCCTGAGGAAAAGGCCTGGGCTGAGTCAGATCCTCAAGGCAGCAAAGAAGCAAGTTTTACTTAAAACCAGCCGGAGGGCTGGCCCAGGCCTCCTGGAGACCGAGGGAAATGAGAGACATCAATCTGTCTTTGGCAGCAACATGGACATTGAGCAAGCGAGCAAGGAAGGATCGGCTACCCAAGGAGTCAGCCAACTTGGGAGGGAGACAGGAACAGCCTGCAAAACCCTGAATCATGCCCCAAAGTTGAGTTCAGCCAAGTCGGATGGAATTGGGAATACAAGGCATTGGGCCTGGCCAGTGTCCCCCGTCTCTTCCTAAGAGGGTCTGAGTTGGATTGGCTTCCAGGCCAGAGACGATGAGTTCGGACCAGTCAAGGGGCCCTTCTCCAGCCGCACCCCCGCCTCCTGCAGATTTGGATGGGGAAGGGGGGCTGGCTGGTCCCTTCCTACAGTGCCCATTGGAGCATGGAATTGAGCCCTGAATAATAGCTTCATTCACTTTCCAAGTTCTCTCTGGCTGAAGTGCCTGCGAGGAAAGCCAGCCGCCCTCCCTCCGCGGGCTCTTCTAGGAACTGGGAGGCAGGAGGAAGGAAGCAGGAAGGGGCTGGGACTAGGGCTAAATGGACTCACCTATCACCAAGTCACCATCAGAACCAGGCCTGTGACACTCATTTGGGGTCTGGGAGTGGAGTCTGGGGGAGGATGGTAGGAGGGAAATGGGCTTTAGTCTATTCTGGAAGAAAATGAAGCCTGCTTTCTTTTTCTTCCCTGATTAGCATTTTTATTGCGTCCCTCCTATTTGCTCTGCCTGGTCATAATTAAATACTGCCCATGGTGTCTCGTCTATCTTGGTAATGTTCTCCTGGGCACCGATGGATTGGAATTTCTTTATGGCCTCGCTCTGTTGGCAGAAAACAAGTCCTGTGCCTCCCTGGCAGGGCGGTCACCCAGGAGGGGGTCCAGCAAGGGGGTCAGGGGCCTCCTCAGTGAGTCGCAGGTCTCTGATCTGAGATCTTGGAAGGAAAACGAAAAGGCACCTGGTCTTCTGTGCTCTGCGCAGCCCCCAGAGAGATGACCCAGGGTATTAGGTGCTGCCTCTGTTCTGCTTGGGAAGGTGAACAAGATGGTCATTGACCTCAATAAGTATCATAGTGGTGAAGATGGTGATGATGGTGAAGATGGTGGTGATGGTGAAGATGGTGATGATGGTGAAGATGGTGATGATGATGAAGATGGTGATGACGGTGATGATGATGCTGATGATGATATTTAACACGTTCTGGGGGTTTATTGTGTGGCAGGCACGCTTCTAAGCTCTTTGTATGCATTGAGTTTGCATTGAATTCTTGTAACAAATCTGCGGTAGGTAGTGTTGTTATCTCCATTTGTTGGATGAGGAAAGGGAAGCACAGAAATGTTAAGTAACTTGTCCAGGATCTCACAGCAGCGGCTGGTGGTGACTCCAGCAGCTTAGAAGGAAGGGATGGGGACGGGGATGCGGCTCTCGAGGACGGACTCTAGACTTTGGGCCAGGACACCAAACAGGACCCCGAGGCTGGTTCTAGTCCCCACACTCCTCTCTGCCTAACTCACCGCCGTCCTCTCCATCTCATGTTCATGGCCAGGGCTGCAGTCCCTCAGGCTCCCTCCTCTGTGTCATCGCATCCTGAGCCCTCCGTGGCCTGCCCCTCCTTTGCCTGCCCCCTGGCTTCCCTCCTCCCCGCCCCATCCCTGGGTCCTCAGTAGCATCTGTTCTGTTTCCAAGGAGCGGCCTTACATTCCCCACCTTCCCCCACCTCTGCTCTGTGACCAGAGCCCGGCTTTTTCCTCTCATCTCCAACTTGGATGAACTTGCACTTGAGCCTTCTCATCTAGACTGTTGATATTCGGTGGTTCTCAAAAAGTGGTCCTCAGACTAGCAGCATCACATTGCATTTCGAATCTTGTTAGAAATACAAATGCCTGGGCCCCACCTTGGACCTAATGTGGTAGAAAGTCCAGGGTGGAGCGTGGTGATCTGTATTTTACAGGATCCCTGAGGCACTCGGGTTTGAGAGCCACGGCTCCCCACCCGTGTTCCAAGCCTCCTTTCAGCAGCGTCTTCCTGAAGCCCCATCACGCATGCGCTTGCTTCTCCCACCAGCCACTCCAGGCCACTCCGCCTTCCAGAAGGATAGACACTGCCTGCCCTGCCTGCCCACTCTCAGGGCGCAGTGCTCGCCTCCTCTCACCCCCGCTCTGCGCCTTCTCCAGGGCAGGGTCTTCTCTCATGAGCTCGGTGGCCACCTCGATGCTTCCCACATGTGAGTTTCTAACAAGCAGCCCTCTCCCCAGGGCTAGAAATATTCCTCCTCCTGCCTGTAGGGCATGTGACCTAGACTCTTCCAGCCGCCTTACCCCACCCATCCCACACAGAGCTCCTGCGAACTGACGTCCATTCCCTGCCCAGACATTACGCACAGAAAGAAGCTTCTCTGGCTTTCCCTCCCTCCTGCCCTTGCTCCTCCCTCCTCCCGCACACACCCCACAACCAGTCCCGTCACCGGGGTTCACAGACGCTGCTGCTCCCCTTCACGGCTGGCTCTGCCTTCATTGCTGGTTCAACAGCCCAGCCCAGCCCCCATCTCCCACTTCCACCCTCCCTTCTAGTTCTGCCAGAGACGTTCTGCTAAAACACGGGTCCAGCCTCAGTAACCCCTCGTGGCCTGCGGGTACAACCCAATGTGGCCTTCCGTCATCTGGCCCGGCCCAGCCTGGCCAGGCCTGCTGGCTCCCGCGCTCCCCTGGCTCAGCCCACACTCCCACCTGCTGCTCATTTCCACTGCTCTGTGGTCCTGCTCACGCTCTTGTCTTTGCACCGAGTAACTTTCTGCCTCCAGAACTTCTCACCCTTGAAAATGCTACTCAGCCCACCCGCCCATGTGCACTCTTCCTGGGCACCCCGCCCTCTTCTCCTAGCTCTGGGCTCCCAGGGTGCATCGCTCCTGCCCCCAGTGCTTTGCACCCTGGGCTCTGCTCAGTTGTCATCCTTTCAGATCGTGAGCTCAATGTCTTCACAGCCCAGAGCCCAGTGCCTGGCACACAGTTGAAGCTCCATCAACATTCTCCTTGTCTGCTTCAGCCAGCAGTTCCCTCACAGGCTGACACCTGCACACACACAGCCGCCCGCAATCTACTGTCGCCCCTCTGCCCCACCCTTCTCATCCAGGCACAGCGTTGGGAGGGCTCCTCACACCTACTCACCCTCAGGCAGCTCTGACATCGCATCAGAAACCCTCCTGCATTAAAACGGGTAGAGGGAACGCCTAAGGTTTGCCCCTCAAGTCCCACCCAGCGACGGTCCGTTCTGCTTCCAGCTCAGTCCGCTGAACCTCCCTCCAACAGAGAAAGGAGGAATGGGAGTTTCCCACAATTCCTAGTCTCCCTGTCAGCGCCTGACCCTGGCTGGCCATTCCCCTGAAATCCCGCCTTTTGGCCACTTGGAAACGTGCTATTAGGGGCTTTTTTGGGGGCCCTGGATCCTGAGCTGCCCCCAGAGAGACTACCTCACAATCAGCAGTGCCCAGAACACAGTCAGCTGTGGTGTTTGTTGAATGAGAAACGAAATGCTGAGGAAGGAAAGAGGCTCTCAGAGTGCCTACCCCACAACCCACCCACCCAGCCCACCCAGCCCTGTGTCACCAGTCCTGGCCTGACAGTTCCACGCTCTGCAGGAGGGCAAGGTGGCAGAGAGGAAGATGGAGAGAGATGGGAGGGAGCACTTCTCCATGGTCCTCCTTTGCTGGCCCCTGAGGAGGACATCTGAATGAGGAGAAACACACAGGACCCCAGGCCACCAAGCCTCCTCCTTCCTGCCCTCAGCCCTGGGCTCCTGCCCTCCCAGGCTGCGGGCAGAAAGGGAGACAGACTCACTTGGAGACAACTTTAAGTGAATTCAATTACCATAGCAACCAAAACCACCAGAATGGGGATTAGGCTCCAGACAGCAGCGAGCCAGGCATCCAAGAGAGGCAGCAATCCACAGGCCGTGGCTGGGGGAATGGTGACCGGGACTGGGGGGCTGGGAGGACACCACCCTCAGCTACCCAGCAGCCCCATTCACCTGCACTTCCGGGGGCTCCTCAGAGCTCTCACCTGCCAAGGAGCAGACGCCCATCCCTGCCGGGAGCTGGAGAGGCCTGGAAGGGGTGTGGGGCTTTGAGCTACGAGCAGGCCTGGCCTCCCGTCTCCTCCCCGCTTGTGTCCTCTGTGGCTGGCAGGGTGCGTCAGCCTCGGCCCCTCCCCGCAGAGCAATACCTAAGAGTAGGGGCTCTGGACTCAGGCTGGTTTCAAGGCCCAGCTCTGCTAACCATCCTGAGCCAATGGCTGGATTTCTCTGTGCCTTGGGCTTTTCAACTGACACATGGAGACAGTATCTGTTTCACAGAAGTGCCGTAAGGACTGAAAAATAGGGATGCGTGTAAGGCCTCAGCGCAGTGCGTGGCACATAACGCCAGGGCTTGTTGTCATGGTGTCACTGGTGGTGTCATTAATTCGTGGTGATGACAACGATGACGAGATGACAACAGTGGCTCCAGTCCCACCTGGCCCTCGTCTTTTCCCTGCTGTGAGCACCACCTTTGCCAGATGGAGGCGCCCAGCCTGAGGGAGGCAGGAAAGGTGCCCAGGAGGCTGACTAGCTGGTCACAATGGTCAGTCCCCTCCTGCCCCAGAAGCCAGTCAGAAACCCAGAGGGACTGCGCAGACCACCTGGCAAATGACCAACGCCCTGCTCTCTGGGGCCTTCACCTGAGCCAGCCAGCTGTGCTCAGCCAGCTGTGCTCAGCCTGGGGAATCTCAGTTAAGGGCAGAACCCCAAATGGTCTCCTTCATCTATTCATTTTGCCCCAAAATGATCTTCAGCCCAAAAGAGCGGTTGCTTTCCCCAAAGGTGGAGCCCTCATCTGTAAAATGGGGATAAAATTAAGGCGGACTGCAGAGAAATAATAGACCTGAGGACGGACGCAGAACTGAGGACGGACGCAGGCACTGCTTTTACGGCTCTTTCTCTCGTGTGTGGGCTTATTTCCCATGCGACACAGGAGCATCCGGAGGGCAGAGATGGTCCTCCTTCACGATGCGAAGGCCTTGGGACAGGGCTGGGGAAGGTGTGCCCGGCCCCCCTCCAGGGACGTGCTCATTCATCCCACAAGCATTTCTGAGCACCAGCGATGGTCAGACCTTGTGCGGCTGCCACAGAAGCCAAGACAGATGAGACTCAGGAGCTCAGGCTGGTGATGAAGGAAGACCTCGGAGGAAGTCACCAGGAGGGGGAGGCGCAGTGAGGACGCCTGGGGCAGTGGGCTGGGCGTCAGAGAGGACTGGCATCTGGGCTGGGCTGGAAGGAGGGGGACATCTGCCCAGTGGAGGAGGAGGACCGACTGCAGGCAGAGAACAGCCGGCACAAAGAGGGAGTGTGAAAGGGCTGGTGCGCTGGGGGAGGTGGGAAGTTGAGGGATGATAAAGCGTGTGTGTGTGTGTGTGTGTGTGTGTGTGTGTGTGTGCACACACACATGCTTGGTAGGGGGCGATAAGGGGGTGGAGAGGAGATGGCAGGGGATGAGACCAGGAGTTTCCTCTCCTCTTATCTCGCAGGCGATCAGCAGTTCTATCCGCCTCTATACTGTTCAGCCTTATTTTGGAAACTTACTCCCCTCCAACCACAGGAAGTGTTGAGTCTGTCTTAGGATGCCCTGTCTATGTCCTAGGGTCAGCATTGCTTGAAGGTCTCAGATGTCCCCACAGACAGCTTCCTCCAGCCCAGCATACACAGCTCTGTCTGGAAAGGGGCCTGAGAGGGAACTGTGCCCACCCCTCTCTCCAGGAAGGCTGCACTTGCACCCCAGCCGCTCTGCTTGCCTTCCCCCAGTCGGGCATGGTCACCTGGCTGGGCAGCACAGCCTGACCTGAAACCCTCCGGGCTGCTCCATCCAACCAGTCAGAGTCCTGATCACGTTTGTCTCCAGCATATTCCTCTCACGCCCCTCTCTCTATGCCCAGCTCCACGGCCCTAGCTGAGCCCCTCATCCTCTCTTTCCTGCTAATTGGTCCCCCTGCTTCCCATCTGGTCCTCCTCAAATCCATCCTCCACACTGCTGGCTGGAGAGGTTTCCAAGCACCGATCTAACTGCATCTGACTGCATCTGCGTGTGTCTGGGCCCTCGGGCGGCCCCTGCGGCCTGCAGGCTGGAGCCCAGCTCCGCAGCATGTTTCCCAGCCCTTAGCGTGCCTGCCTCTGGCCTCGAACTCTGGGCACCCCCTGAGCTCACTACACCCTGCTGTCTTGGCTGTCTGGTGTCCACTTCACCCCCTCGGTCATTTGGCTGCTTCCTTGTCCTCTTTCCACACTCAGCTTAGATGTCATCTCCTCCAGCACATCTTCCCTGGCCCCTCGGGCTGGCCCAGGTACCTCCTGCCTATGATCCCCTGGCCGTCAGCCACACCCCATCACACACGCTAGCTTTGTCACTGCCCCAGCTGTGGGACACTCGCCTCCAACTCTTCATCTGAGAAATGATAATACATCTACCTGAGATCATTTTGAGAATTTGCAAATCTAGCTTCTCACCCCTCAGGCTTCAGTGACTTACAATGAGGTTTAGTAGCCTGACACCAGTGCAGGGGTCTGAGGAGGCAGGGCCCGTGCCCGCCTTGCTCACCACCAGATGTCCAGCACAGAAACTCGTGCGTGCTCAGTACGTGTGTGTTAAATTCATGGGCGGTGTGTTGAGCTAATGCTATTGGATGAAGACCTGTTCATTCAATTTAAGTGTTTATTAAGTGCCAGACTCTGCCCCAGGGTTCCCCTGCTAATATTTAGGTGGGATGGGGTGTTGCAGATAAGAAAAAGCATACTCACATCTCCTGGGCAAAACGGCACCTTAAGTTGGGACTTCAACTCCATAGCATGTGAATAGGGAGAAGTGGGAAGCAAAAGAAATCTTCCTGGGAAGACAGTCTGTAAGTTGCTCCCCCTCACGCTTCCCTCGCCACCGTCCCACCCCTCCGAGCAGCACTGGGCTTGGCTGAGAAGGCTGTGTGTTTCCTTTTTTGTCCATTTCAGGAATCTGTAGCAAAGAGCCAGCCTCTAACAGTGAACCTGTATTTGCAAAATAACTCAGGCATTAGTTAAAATGTCACGCGCTTACCACTTTGGGGGCTCCCGTCTGTCTGGGTGGGAAGAGCGCCCATGGAGCCTCAGAGAGGACGAGACATCTTCTAACTTCTTTAAGCATGTGGTTGTTTGGGGATTGTGTTTTTCACACGGAGCCTGGCTGTCTCCATTTTTTATGACGCTGGGCATGATTTAACACATACACTGAAAAAAATGGAAGAACAACTTCTTAAATTCGCAGTGAATGTATTGTTCAATAGATTTGATTTACTAGGTAGGAGCCCTGGAAGAGCCGCCGTGGCGATTTATCGTGATGTTGTCTCAGGAGTTGGCGTCCACCCCCTCTGCCTGCCCTGACCCCGTAACAACCACCCATGGAGGGAAGGCCCATGGTGCGTGGGGGCACCGGCTGGGGTTGTAGCTGCCACACCCTAGCCTGAGAGCAGGATGACGAGACCGTGGCAGGTAGGAAGGGGGGAGAGGGCTTGTTTCGTGGATTTAGTGGCATTTGTTCTGAGCAGGTGGTTGGGATCAAGGAGCAGAGGTCTCTGGGCATCGAGGCTTGTGGTTTACAGGGACCACTTGTCTCCCTGGTGACTGCAGAGGAGTTAAATGGATGGGAAGCATATGTGCACACGTATGTGCATGTGCATGTGGGTGCGTGCATGTGTGTATGCGTATGTGGGTGCACACGTGTGCGTGTGTACATGTGTGTGTATGTGTGCATGTTTTGAGGGGAGAGAGAAACCTAGACTCATAGTTTTGACTGTGTGCACACGTGTGTGCATGTGGGTGTGTGCATGTGTATATGCGTATGTGGGTGCACATGTGTGCGTGTGTACATGTGTGTGTATGTGTGCGTATTTTGAGGGGAGAGAGAAACCTAGACTCATAGTTTTGAGGGATTAAGAAGGATTAGTCTCTTCAGAAAAACCTCCTCAAGATGGCTTTGCTTTGATTCCTAAAGCAACTGCAAGCATCTCCTCCTGCTCCCTGGGGAAGCCTGGGAAGTGTGGAAAGTTCTGTAGCGGGTGGGGCAGGTGGCCAAGGGCTGTGAGGAGGAGACTGTCCCACGCTGCTGCGGGGCGGGGAAGGCCTCCAGGGAGATGTGCTTCCAAGCTTAGCCTAAGGCTTGGCTAAGCAGAGGTGAGGGCCAGGAGTTCCTGCAGAAGGAACAGCCTGAGCAAACACTTGGGGATAAAAGAACAGCCGGCAGTTTTCAGATCGGCAGCACTTTCCATGTGGCCAGAGCACAAGGTGCCAGGGGCCCAGGAGGGAAAAGTGGGAGGCAGCAGAAGTAAACAAGCGTTCAAAACAGGAGATGTGTCAAGGGATGTCTGCTTAATTTGGAGGGGATTTATAGGAGGATTTCAGCCAAGGGGCGACATGGTGGGGTTTGTGTTTTGCAAAGATGGACTGAAGTACTGGCCTCCTTGGCTGGGCTTCATTTCTGGAAAATCCCCTGGGCACCCCTAGCCCAGGCCAGGAAGCACGGCCCCAGGACCCCTACCAGTGTCTTGGTTTCCGATGCTCAGCACCTGCAGACGCGGCCCAGTGAGGCAGGCGGGGCTCATTCTGTGTGGGGAGGTCATGGCAGAGCCTACTGCCAGTGAGGACAGGGGGACCTCAAGATTACAGCTGGGGTATTACCTGGAGGAGGAGGAGTATGGACCCAAGGTCTGGGTAAGGGGACAGGCCTGTGAGGCCGGAGGCATCCTGATTGCTAGCACCACCCCAGCTTTTCGGGAGAGGTGCATTGTGAATGCCAGGTCTACCGAAGACAGCAGAAATTTCTATGATGATGGACATGTTCTCCATCTGTACTGTCCACTGTGATAGTCATTAGCCACAGGTGGCTATTGAGCACTTGAATGTGACCAGTGCAATTAAGAAACATATTTTAAAATTTTAATTACTATAATTTTAATTTGGATTAAAATAGCCTTACATGGCTAGTGGCTACTGTATGAGACACACAAATTGAAAATGTGAGATCCTTGCAGTCAGTTCTATCAAATGCTGAACAGGTAGGGGACTCTTATAATCGGTTTTCATGTCTTGTGCCTGAAGGCAGTGTGGTGCAGGGCAAGACTTTGAACGTTGGCGTAGTCAAACTTACGGTTTAAATCCCATCTGTGCCACTGTATTGGTCAGGGTAGGATTACTGCATTAACACACATCATGCAATTTTCAGTGGCTTCGCATAATAAATGAGAACAAAATAAAAGTTTACCTTTTTACTCATTTCACAGACCAATAAAGGTTAGGAGGGGTCACTGCTCTACACAGTCACCCAAGGAACCAGGCTTCTTCCTTCTTGTCCTTGAAATTCTCTCCATTCAGCCAGTGGATGGAGAAAGAGCATGCAGGATTGCCCTGGATGTTTTTAGGGAACTGGCTTATATTACCTTGACCAGAATTTAGTCACATGGCCAAACCTAGCTGCAAGGGATCCTGGGAAATGTGCTCTTGCTATGCTCATGAAAAAGAGGAATTAAGTTTGGTTAGCATCTAGTCAGCCTCTGCCGTGGGGACCTACTAGCTGTGTGATCTTAGGCCTTAAATTTCTTATTTGTCAGATGGGAGGAAAATAAGAATTGGTGAAGGTTAAATGTGAAAAATTCTGAGTCCCGTTGAGATTCATGAATATGGTTCTTGCCTCTCTGTTTGGGTCTCATTTCAATTACTGGGCAGCAGCCCTACTAACTTCAAAAAACTTGCACATGTAGGCACCACTGCATGGCATTTTATGCTTGCCCCTTTCTCCCCAAGGAGCAGGACTGACTTGGGGCAGATTTCAGCAAACCCTTGAACTTGACTAACCCAGGACTACCTCTGGGAAGATAGAAAGGAACTTTTCCCTGGAGAGATGGGTTTTGTTGGCCTTAAGGAGGGTACAATTACTGAAATATTTATAGATGAAATTATATGACATCTGAAATTTGCTTCAAAATTATTGGGGGGGGGTGCTGGTGAGTAGGGGTACAGATAAAACATGGTTGGCCTGAGTTGGTAATTATCAAAGCTAAGGATGGGCTCATGGGGGTGTATCACACCGTTCTCTCTTCTTTTGTATGTCTGAAATTTTCTATAATGAAGAATTTTTAAAGGGCCATGAGGATCCTTTTTAACGAGGCTTTGCAGAGAAATCCAGAAACCTCTTATGACCTTGCAGTATGGGGACAGAAGATGGACAGTCTTTGTTTACTTGTTGACTCACCAAAGCAATTAGAAATTTTGCGGCTGGGTGTCCCTCAAACCCATTGAGGCAGAAACACCCAACCCCAGCCTTGAGCTCTGAAGCGAAAATCCACTTGAATATAAGCATCATAGGTGTGCAGAGCTGGGAGGGGCCTTGGCACTCATGAGCTGTGTGTCTGTTTACCAAGAGGACGGTGGTACCAAAAAATGGTGCACAAATCCCCTTATTACAGTGCTTTTGCAAAGGTTGGAGACTTGATTTTCTAGCTGCAGAATTCAGAAACAGCCCATGTTGGTGTTTATGGGTGCATTAATGGGGCCGGTTTTCTGAGTGGACAGTGACTGTGGAGTTGGGAAGAGCCTCCATTACTCTGATGGGTACCTAAAACCCTACTCTGTTTTATTGCTGTGGCTTAAGGCTGTGGTCTGTTAAAAGGTGAATACTGTATCTCTGGACAGGATAGTCACTTACACTTTAGTTTAAATGATTTTAACAGTTCTTGCTGAGGAGGAGGGACTGGGGAGAGATAGGCACTTGAAGCTTAAGGCTGCAGAAGTGGGGTGCCACGGGATGGAGAGAGGAGCTAATAGAAAAATGTATTGGCTTGGGGAGTCATGTTTTGAAGGCTTAATAATTTCATGATTTTATTTGTACTTACTAACAGGAAATGCCTGAAACACATTATACTGCCCATTAGATAAAGGCAGACCACTGCTAAAAAAAAAATGTATATACAGACAAACTTCTCTGATTTTACACATTTCTGAGGTCTCAGTATGAGCAATAACCACATGGAAACACTTGAGTGACCTTCCTAAACTTCCTCACAAACAAGCACTGTAGAGAGCTGTGCCCAAGACTTAAAAGAGCTAGTTTTGAACACATGTAAACTCATTTACAATATTATAGCAGCAATATTTTTTAAAATATGTTTTTATTGATTTCAGAGAGGAAGGGAGAGGGAGAGAGAGATAGAAACATCAATGTTGAGAGAGAACCCTTGATCAGCTGCCTCCTGCACGCCCCCAACTGGGGATCGAGCCCGCAACCCAGGCCTATGTCCTTGATCCGGAATCGAACCTGGGACCCTTGAGTCTACAGGCCAATGCTCTATCCACTGAGCCAAACCAGCTAGGGCACAGCCAATATAATTTTATTTATAATTGCATATGAGACGTCCTATATACTTTCTCTAAGTCAATCCTCACAAACCCTATGAGTCAGTGCCATCGTTAAAACCCATTTCACAGGAAGTTGAAGATCAGAGAAGTAAAGAGGCTCACCCAAGGTCACATGACTTGTAAATCAAAGTTAAGATTTGAAGCCAGGTCTATCCCAAGCCCATGTTCTGGCCACTAAGCCTCCACTGTCCCAGGTTAGTCATGTGGGTTTGACACAATTTAAAACTTCCGGTCCAGTAAGCTTTAGTTTGAGCATCTCCTTGAGCCAAGCCGGGGTTCTGGCTAATGGGCTTTGACAGGCACAGTCACAGCTGCAGGCGATCCAGGTGCATTGCCCACTGACCACATCCTGGCTGTTTCCAAGAAGGTGAGATTCTGGGGATGTGATTGACATTCTGCCAGAAAGGAAAGGAAAGAGTTCCCTGAAAACTAATCTAGTTCAAGAGCAGAACACTGGCTAGGTCTCTGCAAGCAGCATCAACTGAGGCTCATATTGTAGAGCTGAAAAAGGCTGAAGGAGGCAGGTGTCTTTGGGGCTCTTTACATCCAGGATTAGCCCCAAATCGGACACCCTCATCCTTTCTCTCTGTCCTCATGCCAGCCCTTAAGATCAATCATCTAGGACCTGGAGGTTGACCAGTTGACAAATGTATTGCGCGTTCTCAATTACACACAGTCAGGGGAACTATGTGAATGAAAGCTGAAATAACTCCTAACGCAAGTTTATTGCGTGTCCGTGATGTGCCACGCACTGAGCTAGCACTTTCAGAGATGGCTAAGCAATGGCCTTGCCTTACCCAGCGTAAAGCCAGAGAGCGAGA